ATAAAAACAGCTTTCTGTTTTATTTTTAATTTAAGTTACCTGCAAGTGGCGGAAATTTTGGAATAGGGAACCATCAATTTCAGGAAGGAGGTAATCATCTGGATCATCTTTCAAGGTGGCAAGACCTAAGATGCGTAATGTAGATGACTGATTCTCAACAAGAAGATTTAAGAGGTCCTTGGAATATGATGTAATATCTTCCATGCAACCCAAGGTTAGTTCTTCCATTTGCAAGCTGGTAGCAACCTTTTGTAACATCTGAATCCCACGCCTGTAATCAAATTCATAATGACAGCCAAGTTTCACAAGTGACAGGCACCTGACAGCTGGAGGCAAGGACAACAACTGTCAGCTGACAGCTGCTGTCACCATTTGACAGCTAGTGTGAAGACACATATCAATGTCAGGGAAGACAGATAAACAGATTCATGACCTTTTCGAAAAACGTTTTCAAGTAAACTACAGCAGTACCGCCTAGACTAAACCGTCAAAATGTCCGTAAAAATGTAGGCCTTGACAGTTCATGAGGACTTCAACTCACCTCTCCAATAGCTGTTTCTGGCGCTCATCGTCAGGAAGTTCAATACGGCAATTGCTAGGTATTAAATGAAGTTTCCGCAGTTCTGGGTTGTTGATCAGCTTTCGGACAATCCGAGCAGCTTCTTCCACGCACAATGGGTCTAGAGAGTCAAACTTGACAATTGCGCTGCGAAGTTTTCGTGCGAAACAGCTGGTTAGGAATCTGTTACGAGAGGCTGTATCTTCTTCATGCGAATTTATCTCGAATGTTAGATTTCTCCACAAACTTCCATGATACAAATTTTGCCTCCATTGTCTACAAGTTGATGATGCACTAATTGTGTCGTTTCGAGGCAAATACTTGAAGACTTCAAGCAAAATCACACTGGGCAAATTGTTCCAAGTTCCTCCATCCGTAGCCATATTTACTTTCCCAACAGGTTTCGTCTGGATGTCTGATCGAAGTCGTTTGTCACCTGTTTCTGTACTGCAAGAAGAGGGGGGGAGTAGGGAGGGTGGGGGTGACGAGGGAAGTTTTGTGGAGGGAGAGGGTCTGTTCCTAAACTCAAAATTGACCATGTGACCACTCTCACTTTTGTTTGTTGGGGGAGGGGAGAAAGGGAGGTTTGGGGGGAAGGGGAGAAGGGGAGAGGGGGGAGGATCAGGGATCAGGGCAACAAAATCCTTTAACCTTAAACTTTTTAGTGCAGACGACAGTATAAACACATCGGTGCCGTTTGAAAGGAACAGTCATCGAAGAAACTTAACATGGGGTCTTCATCCGATTTAGAAATTGTCAAAGCACACATTGCCTCGTATCCTGATTTTCCAAAAGTTGGAATCTTATTCCGGTAGGTCCAGGGAACTGCACTGCATCCAACTATTTAAGATATGACACCTCGAGGCTATTTGGTGTTTTCAATACAGCTTCTTCAGTTAATGGATAATAATGAAGTATTACACTCTATATTTCTTTTGTTTGTTGCTTGATGGCAGTGATATGTTTCCAATCTTCCAAAGTCCGGAAGCACTGGCTGCGTTAGAGAACCTTCTTGTTGATCATGTGAAAGGCCTGCAGGGTGTAGATGCAGTTGTTGCACTGGAATCAAGAGGTTTTCTTCTAGCTCCTCTTATTTCATCGAAATTGGGGATTCCTATGGTACCCATTCGGAAAAAGGGCAAGCTGCCTGGGAAAATACGGAAAGTAGACTTTGCTCTCGAGTATGGAACTGTAAGTAGATAAATCTCATTTATCAGTTAACTGTCTGTCTTTGTACTTATATTTTTTGTGCATATTCAAACTCTAACACTTGATCTAGGACACGTTTGAAATGCAAGAAAATAGTATCAAGCCAGGACAAAGAGTTGTGGTCATTGATGATCTTCTAGCTACTGGAGGTAGGCTCATTTGACCACTAGTTTATTTACCCAAAAATAGTTCTGGGATTATCGGGAATTATTTTTCAAAAAGTGAGTTCTTTATACTACAGTGAATTTTACCTAATTTTATTATCTCTTAAATTCAGGCACAGCAAAGGCTGCCTGTCAGCTCATTAGGGATTTTAGTGGAGATGTTGTAGAGTTGCTGGTCTTAATGGAATTGAAGGACTTACAAGGACGTAACAATGTGCAGTGCCCTGTACATTCAATAGTACAATTTTGATGCTTCGCAGCTGTTATCTGAAAAACATTCCCTTACATTCCACTGTCAACATTACTGCATTTGAAGCTTGAGATTAAAGCATACGAAGAGGCTGTGAGACACTTTTGATAAACAAAACTATGTTTTTTTAATTTGATACATTCCATTGCTGTGAATAAAACGTGGTTCTGTATTTTACAAAATTACCCTTTCTTTTTTTTTAAAAAAAAGGAAAAACCTTTGTCAAAAAGAAATGGATCAGAAATCAAAGAAAAATAATTTTTAATCATTTAATATAAAAGAATTACACACAGCTTTGAATTTACAAAGCCTTGCTACCTTTGTACATTACAAGTTTTAAAATTTGAACATTGAAAATGGCCGATGTATTCTGAAAAATCAAGAATAAAGGCACACATGGCAGTGTTGAGGAGTGGTTGCAGTGCACTTTGAATGCACTGTGACATGTAAAAGATATTTACAATATGTCTAAACCTAATATATTACATGACTATTTGATCTGTACAAGTACAGAAAACTAAAAAAGTGTAAGGTCACACTCATTAACGAACAAAAAAGTAAAAGAAAATATTCAACATGAGCTTTTCATCCTTCCCAGTTGATATGCCATACACATCAGTCTGTTCACCTACTGGCTTCTATACTAGACAATAATAATAAAACACTGCACACACATCAAGCAAAAAGTAAAACTAGGTCTTTCTGCCCAAGTTGGCATAAGTCATGAAAAGGAACTGAGGTGTGGCATGTTTCTGACTGGATCAGAATCAAAATACATAGAGCTAAATATTAAAATACAGCAACACACACTATATAACAAAATAACATCTTAACTAACTACCTGGGGTAAAACACTCACTACATAATTATGACAGCAGCTAAAACATAATTTTAGTACCAAATTAAATAGATAGATTATGATGTGAATTGAATCAATCACCTTCAAGCAAACAGCAAATCAATGAGATTAATCTCCCATTTCAAGAAATAACTTTAAAGAAAAAGTAACCATGCAAAAGATAATTATCTAAGATGTACATGATAAACTGAAGAAAAAAATGTGGTTTCAGAGATCATTTTTTAAAAAATACTTTGGTTTGTGTTACTCTAATTGACTGACTGTTGGTTTTGGACCTCCTTCAAAGGAGTTGCAGGGCTTCCCACAGGACTGTTACGTGCAGGACTGTGACGTGCTGGGCTAAGTAGCTCCTCCTTTACCTTAGACGTAGTGCGAGCAGAGAGAGGAGTTGATGACTCAAAAGTGGACATGTTTTCTTTACCCTTTTTCACAGTTGACTGATGCATGGGTACACGGAAGCTCTTTGAAAGACCTGAATTCTCCAAGAATGATTTAGAGTGTGCAAGGGACAAGCGGTTCTGCAATATAAAAGAAGTAATCAAACATGTTTACTGGCAACTGACGGCAGATACCATGAAAATCAGCAAGAACTTTACCTGAAATGAGTCATCTGGTTGTTGTTTGAATGCCATAGACGGGTTGAAGCGTGATTGACCGGTGGCGCGTGTGAGTTCATCTTTCAGCCTGTCAATGGTACGCTTCTGAGCACGGGTCTGAGTCTCAAGTTTGTCGTTTTCCTGAAGGGGAAAAAATAGTTATAAAAAAATATTTACAGTGAATGTTACTTGTATGAACAAAAACAAAATAATCTTACTTTTTTTAAGTCTAGAATCTGCTCTTTCAATTTCACAACGTGATGAATCTTTTGCTTGTGATTTTGGTGTCCAAGGATCTGGGCATATCGCTGTGAAAGTTCTTTTACTTCACCTTCAGCAGCTTCTTTCCTAATGGCTAGGGCCTGCCTGTCAGATTCAAAAGCTTCGAGCTGCTCACGGAATGGACCAACCAAAGCTTCCAATTCATAGTAACGTTGTTCCCAAGAAGTTGCATTTGCTGAAGTTTCACGCAGATTTTCAAGTTCCCTGACACAGAAAAATTAGATGTTAATGAAACCTATGTAGTTGGAGGGAAAAAGAAGTTTAAGCAGTGGTGTACTTACTTAGAATGACTTTCTCGTTCATTAGTAAGCTTCTGTTGTGTGGCTTTCAAATCATCTTCTAAGCTTGACATCTTAGATCGGCTTTGTTTGATGGCTTGCTGTAGTTCAACAACTGCAGCTTTGTAGGTCTCCTTCCGGCGAGTGGTCTGCTCTAATTCAGCTTCAAGGTGCTGCACTCTTCCTCGAACAGTACCAACTTCTTGAGTTTTTGCTCCTAAAGAAATTTTAAGGGAAGATATTTCTTCTGTCAAAGCTTCTTCTCGTTCGCGGCCTACAGTTTTCTCTTTCTCTACATCAAGTCTTATCTTTTTAACTTGATCAGTTAATGCAAGTATCTCTTCCTTTTGAGACTCAACTTCCTTTTTAGCTTTCTGTAATGACTCTTCATTTTCCCATTGAATCATTTCATTTTGCATTTTTAATGAGCTTATTTCACTTTGCAAAGCCATTTTATCTTCTTCCAGTTTTTCTACTTCCTTGCGATTCTCTTCAACTCTAGTTTGCAAAAACTTGGCCAAATCTGATTGGTTTTGAACCTCTGCATCTAATTCAGAAATATTTACTGATTGCTTTTCAATAATCTCAGATTGTTCAGCAACTTTCACATTCAAAGAATCCAAATCGGTTTCTGTTTTAATTCTGCCTGCTTCCAGGATTACAATTGTCTTTTCTGCTTCAGTGATTTGCTTCAGACTATCTTCTGCTTCAGCCTTCAGAATACTGATTCTTTCAGATGACTCCTCAACTTTTGCTTCCAATGAAGTGATACTAATATTTTTCTCAGTTATGGTCGATTCAAGCTCAAAAACTTTCTCCTTCATGTCTTCTATTAATACCTCATTGCCCAGCTTTTCTTGCAGCATTTCTGCTATCTTTAGTTCACATTCTTTACGGAAAACCTTTTCAAAATCTAAGTCATTGAAAATATTGGTAATTTGCTCATCTTTAGCCCGTACAGTATCTCTGAGATTGTCAGCCTCACGATGAAGACACAAGAGCGCTTGATCTTTGTCGGATATGATTACTGCCAACTCAGACAGCTGATTTGTTTTAGACATTAACTCATCCTTCAGCTCATTCATTTCTGAAGCCTTCTCTTCCAATTCACTTTCTTTCCTTGCAACAACATTAACCAATGTTTCAATTCTTTCTCTTGCCTTAAACACATTCATTTTGTGGCACTCAAGAACCGTGTTTAGAGAGTCCAATTGACTTTGGAGCTCTGCTTTTGCTGACACAAGCTCATCTATAGCCTTCTTGGCAGATGATTTCTCCTCCTCTAAACCTCTATTTAGATCTCCAACCTGCATACGTAACTCCTCATTTTCACGAGTGAGCTCACCAATCTGCCAATCACATTTCAAGGCAGAGTCCTTTTGCTGTTCTAGCTTTCTTTCTAGCTTGATAACTTCTTGCTCTGATTCAACTCCAGCAGTCTCCAACTCAAGAATAACACCCTGGAGTTCCATTACTTTGTCATTCAAATCATCGACCTGATTGGTGAGATCATTGATTTGCTTTTCACGGTGTTGGATTTCCATCTCCCCATCAGCTGCATCAGCCTTTGCCTTTTCAAGAGAATCCTTGCATTCAGTAAGTTCCTTCTGAATTAGTTGGTGGGCTTTTTTGACAGATAAATAATCTTCTACCTGATTGGCTAGGAAATCCTGAGTAGCTTGCAGTTCATTAGTAGTTTGATGAAGGCTAGCAATGATTACACCTTGCTCATCTCTGTCTTTTTCTAAAATTTCAATATTTCTGTTGGCTTCATCCAGTTGGTTAGCATACATCTCTACACTTTCCTGAAGTATTTTGATTTCACTCAAGAGGCGAGTATTTTCATCAACACACTTTTGTTTGAAGATTTCAACTTTTTCGAGAAGGTTGTTTCTCATTTCTTGAATGTCACGAACATTTTCCTCCTCCATCTCAATCAGACTTTCCTTCTGCTCATTTAAGGTAGTCTCGAGTGCACAATTCATTTGAGAGAGACGATCAACTTCTTCATCACTGTCAATCAGTCGTTTACTGACAGCATTGACAATAGCTAGAGTTTCGTTGCCAAGTATTTCAAGATTCCTCCTAATTTTTTTCATCAATTCAAGCTCGTTCTTTACAGCTTCCAATTCATCCTGAGCTTCATCAAGCTGTCTCTGGCTTTGTGCCAATTGAGTTTCCATGATATTCATTTTGTCTTTAAGCTCCACGATAGTCATTTCTTTGTCCAGATTAGAAGTTCTGAGATCATCCTTAATAGTTGACACTTGGCGCAACTCCTCTTGCACTTCTTCAAGTTTAGAAGATAAAGTTGAAACTTCTTCTTTGGCTTGCATTACTTTCTGTTCAGTTTCAGCTTTGACTTTTTCCAGTTCTTGCAATGCATCTGAACGAGTAGCCTTCACCAGAGCTTGAGTATCATCACGAACTTGTTGTAGGGTTTGAGTGTAAGCAGCCTCTGCTGCTTCCAACTTGATCTCTGCCTCCTCCAGTGCTAAGCGTGTTCTCTGTTCAATTTCTGAGATACGTCTTTCACTGTTGTGTGTCACCTCTTCTATGTATTGTTTTGCTTTCAGCTTTTCCTCCTTAAGAGCCTCCTCAGCGGCATGTAATTTAGATTGGGCTTCAGAGATCATTCCCTTGTATTGCTGAACCTGCTCTACCATTTCATGATCCAGGTGGTCATAGGAAACCTGCATCGCCTGCAGTTCCGCTTGAGACTCAGCCAAAGCAGTCTCCAGATGGTCTCTTTGAGAAGTAGAGTTCTGAATATTTTCAGTGAGAGCCTGGATCTGGCGCTGATGTTGGTCCTGTTCAACATCAAGCTCTTCCTGCAATGTTTTCTGTGTTTTCCTCTCATCCAAGACTTGCTGCTCCAATTTGTAAGCCAAATCCCTCAGATTTGCCAATTCATATTCATGCTCTGCCTGGGCCTGAGCTACTCTGGCTTCACAATCAGCAACGTTTTTCTCCAAATCTTTTTGAACCAAAGACAGATCTTCATTGTGCTTTAAACAGATTTGCTCTATTTCAGCTCTGTACTCTTTGGCCTGACGTTCAGCCTCAGCACGGCGTTCCTCCAGTTCACAGCTTGAGTTAGAGAGATCAGATTGCAAACCAAGAATTAACTCTTGTCGTTGCTGTAGTTTTTGATTCAGGTCAGCTGAGAGGAGACCAAGCTCCTCAACCTGTTTCTGCAGTTTCTCTTTCTCTTCAGTCTCTCTTTGACAAAGAGCTTTCTGATCTGTCAGAGACTGTGCTGTTTCAGCAAGACTCTCTTTCAGGGCTGCCAGATTACATTCAAGTTCCGAAATTTGAGCCATCAAATCAGATTTGGCGTTTTGGGAGTCAAGGAGCTTCTCTTTGCACTTTTCAATTTCAACTTCAAGAGATCGGCACTTAGACTGTGATGACTCCAACTCTGAAGTGACAGAAGATAGTTTCTCTTCTAAGTCAATAACTTTAAGATCAAGAGCAGAATTTGTTTCTTCTAGAGAAAAAACACGAGCTTTACTTTCAGATAATAATTCCTCAAGTTGTGCTGAGTGCTTTGCAGACTCATCAATTGCAGAAGTAAGCTGGTCAAGAGCGAGTAATTTTTCGTCGACTAGGATGAGTAAATCACGCTTAGCATGTTCCAAAGTCTCACAGTGCTCTTCTCTTGCTTGGATCTGCATGGAAGCTTCATTAAGACGTTCACCTAGATCTGCTACCTCATCAGAAAGAGACAGGCGGATCTGTACAAGCTTCTCATTTTCAGCTTTGGCCTCAGCCACACAGCCTTCTAGCTCCAAGCAGCGTCTGACTGACATTTCCATTTCAGACTTGTTTTGCTCTACTCTGTCTTTCAGAATCTCCATTTCAAGCAGCAGTTCTGTTTTGGATTGTTCCAATTCAGAAACAGCAGCTTTCCTCTCAGCAAGATTAGCATCTGAAATATGGATTGATTCAGACAGACTGGCAAGACGAGAGTTTTGTTCAGCAATCTCTTCAATGAGACGATCAACTTCCTTTGACAAGTCAGCTTTCTCCAGTTCAAGTCGCTCAATGGTTTCTTTATCAGATGAAATGTCATTCTGTAATTGTTTGCATTTTGATTCAGAGTCTAATAATTTGCAGTTAGTTTCATGCAATTGTTCTTCAAGAGAAATTAATTGAGATTTGTCTTTGAGTGGTGTCAAGTCTTCAGAGCTACTGAAATCACTGTCAATATTTCTTCTCACTTTGTCACCAGGTGTAGGGTTTTTCTTGGTAGTGGATAGTGTCAACTTCTTAACTGACTTCTTAGGCATTTGAGGCTGAAAAAGAATGTTGTAAAACATTAGGATACTTCAGCTTAACTAATAAAATCAGAAGAGTTGAAAGGCAGTTCAAACTAACAGTCCGGAAGACAGGCAAGGCATTCAAGCTTGCAGAACGCTGCAGGACACCGTCATTTGTTGTAGGCTTGGGCTCAGTAAATCTATGCGTCATTTTGTCCATGACTACCCCTTTAAATTTCTTGTCATCAAATTTGGGATCATAAGTTCCTGGAGGAGGAACATCACCTGCGAAACAATAAAAGATAGAAAATGAAGCATTATCCAAAGTATGGGGCCAAAAACAATCAATTGTTGGCAGGCAGTAAACACCAATAAAGCTGCACAGAACCGCATGAAAATAAAATGAAAATTAGACGATGATTCGAGGTGTAAAGATATATGGTGATTTAGAGGCAGAAAAGTATCACCTCACTATAAGCACAAAATGACAAAAAAGTAGGCGGACATCCGCGCTCACTGGTGCCGCAGGCAACGGCACAAAACTATATATGGGTCCAGACATTGTCGAGTAACTCATTGCTGTTTATAATAAATACTACGGTTGTGAAAATAAATTGAACGACAGAATATCTCACGTACTTTTAACTTCGTTGAATCGATGTATTTTGGCTCGAGGAAACATGGTGATAGACGGAAAGTGTCCAGTGAAGATGAATACTTTCTTTAGTTCTCTGCCGGAAAATAACAAGCTAATAACAGACACGAAGCCGATTTCCAGTCTTCTTAAACATACAGTTGCACAGCTAAATGAAATTCAGCAGCCGTTTAAGTCACAAAATCACAATTTGACAAAGTCTCTTCCGGAGTCGCGCGTAATCTTTCTCACAACAACAGCACTGCCAAAATGTAACGGGCAAACGGCAAACTTTCAAAACAATGCCCGTTTGAATGCAGCCAATAGCATACGAGGAAGCCGATTTAAAAAGCAACCGACCAATGGGAGCAGGCGCTGCCTTATAGAAACTTCTGGACGGAACGTATTTTCTTTGGTCACCAACAACCTTCTAAAACTGACAGATTTTTCAAAAACTGGCCACTAGAAAATAGTGTTTCTAGCAGTGGATACTCAAATCTCGTAAAAGCTGCAACTCTGCCGCGCCTGTAGTCGGTTTGGATGTGTCCAGCAACCATGTTGGTTCCACAACGTAAAGGTGCAGTGGAAGTGGCGCTGTGTAGGAACTTTTCAGTGCGGGAGGTTGGTGGAGCTGCTTCGCCCGCCCCCCGCCCGTCAATGGCGGCGCAAGGCGGCTCGTTTGTAGGCTAGTCGCGCTCCTGCGCGCTCGCGCCTCCCTCGGTTGCTCGGCACGTTGGAGTGAACAGAGAATCCGGCGAGCGCCTCGCACCCGCGCGGTACGCGGACCCGAGACCGCGGCCTCGGCCCGACGCTGCCGCCGACATTTCCGAGCATTTCCATCTAGTTTCAAACCGAGTTCTCTTTTCCCGCCCCTCCATAGAGGCGCCTTGTCGAAGCCCCACCCCCTTGGCGCCGTCGCGCGGAGGGCTGTTCCGCTGCGCCCCAAGGGCAGTGCCGAGCGCCAGGGGCCGAGCAGCAGCAGCAGACACACACTGTGCCCGATGTTTATGCGCGGAAATACGGCCGCCCGCCGATGCAGCGCTCGCCCCGCGGCCCCCGCGTGTCCCGGACGGTCCCGGACGGTGCCATGGACCCCGCAGGACTCGGCGACGCCCGGCCCCGCCGGGAGAGCGACTTCCCCCCGCGAGTGCAGCAGCAGCCAGTGATGGACCAGCGGGGGTTGGTGTGAGTGCGGAGAGAGCGGAGCAGCTGATCAGAGCCGTGCGCGCCTCCAGAGAGGCCCCCCGCGGCCCCGGGCCCCGACCGGGGCGCTGAAGATGCCCCAGCGTCTCGCCCTCGCCGTTCTGCTGTGCTCCGCCGCCCTCGGGCTCTGTCTGGATACAGGTAGGTAACCTCACCGAGAACCTCTCGCAGGATCTCGAGTGCAACAATTTTACCCTTTTTGCCCGTATTTCAATACTTTTGATGTGGCGAACGAATCCCCGTGCGTGCTCGTGGCCTGTGCGAGCAGTGCAACCACCACCAGCACGACCTCGTCAGCGCCGAACCTGCCCCAACGAGGTCCGCGGCCAGTGTTTATCTCCTGGAGACCCCCCCCC